GAGTTTTGGAGAGATCGGCCATGGAGATGTCCTCCTTCTCTCAAATATAATGGAACTGGATAACACTTGGCTTGTGGTGCTCGAAGCACAGAAAAAAACAGACATTTTAAGTTCGTATTTTATTTTAAGTGTATGAAATTTGCGGATTCAAATTCTCAATACAATTTTTATTGTATTTTTATTTAGTTAAGAGAGATATCTCTGTGGTGGCCTAATATAGAGGGAACAAAAGTGTCTTGTCCTTTAATTACTAATTCACCAGAGTCAGGTGGATTGGCGCTCGCTCTCTCTGCAGCCTGAGGACGTTTAATGGAACCGACATGTTGCTGTGAGATTATTTTATAAACAAACTAATGAGTTTACAGATTTGTTTTGGCAGAAATCAAATCCGTTATCTATAATGACCCTTTAAAAACAGCTGTTTGAAATTATAAACCAGCCTAATGTAGCTGTATTTCATTACTAAGGAGACATACTTACACACACACACACAAACTACTTCATTGAGCTTTGGGGTTGCCATCCTGGCTGCTTTTCTGCCTTCAGTAAGGAATGTTGAGTCAGATTTGCTCTTTAGCCAAATTTCTAAGCAGTTTCCAGCCAACAGAGGAAATGAATATGGTACTGCAACTGTGTGTGTGTCCAGAAAGGACAAGTCACAATTGCAAAATACCAAATTATAACATAACAACTACAATTTATCAACTGTTACACCGGGTATCAATCACTTTGGTATGAAGTATTTTTCATGCTTAGACACAAGCTGGACTTTAACTGCCTCATTTTCACATGAAATGGTCCACAACCTAACTCAAATAACACAGATGGTTTTCTGTTCTAAAAATGTCTAACAGACAGAAATACCCACAGAGCTATTTCATGAATGAGGAACTGTGTGGGAGAATTGTAGTGTGTTTGTGTGTGTGGAGGGTGGTTGCCTTGTATTTGTGAAAAAGAAATAATCTTGATGTAAATGCACTAAGAATTGTCTATTATTGCAGTAACTAGGTAAAAAAATGAACAGCATATCTGTTTACTGTGGTGAAGTTCTTTCTTTTAAGTATTTTGTCTTTGTTTCTTTTCTTTCCTCAAGCACAAAATTCCTTTGCTGATTAAAATAAGCTCCAAATGAGGAAACTGTGTAGGAATGTGGAGGGCAGATTATCAGTGCTCTAGGGGTGAAGAGATGACCTGAGAGACAAGCTGCAGATAGACAGCTGATGACTTTTACAGATTTTACAGCTAGAGGGGCTATATTATTATCACTTTAGTGCTACAAATACTGAGAATTTTAAACATACAGTTTACTTTTGCCACCTTCAGTCATGTCTTTTGTTATTTCTGTTATTTCTGTGATGTATAAAATCTCATTTGTGCTCACAGACAACTGGTTGAGTCAAACCTCTGTGGGTGAGAAAGACCCTTAGACCCTTGTACAGGATGGAGCTCTGCCACTGCAGCCGGACATTCTGAGGCCAATTCTCGAGACGTGCCAAGTCACACTTGGGTTGAATATTCCAACGTTTCTTGGGCTCCTGTCAAACGGGGGTGACTACTTCCTTTTTACTCTTTCAGTGGACTTCTGTTTGAAGTTACAAAACTGAAAAAAAAAGATTCTTTACCTGCAGTCAAAAGGCACTAAAGCCGACCAACTAGGTATGCTGGATTGGTGTTAGCTCCCTGACTTCAACCACCAGAAATTATAACTTTGTTCTAGACTTCTTAGATAAGCCTGGGTGACTTCTGCTGGCTAAATCCAAATCAGCATTTAAATGCTCTTGTTGTTTTTTAATTCATCATTCAATTACCAAACCATTTAAAACCAACACATCTTCATCAATGTACGATATTTTGTTCCAAACCTTGTCCCATGCGGGCTCCGGTGAGAGCCTCCTTGGCGCTGCCGAACCCGAGCTCTCTGCAGACGACGCTGGCTGACTGTAGGTTCCAGCGATCATCACACACCGTTCCCCACTCGTTGTCTTTCAACACCTCCACCCGACCCTCGCCGAGCCTGGCACCTCCCTTCAGCCTCACGTTGCTCTAGACAACCAGAAGACATACAAAAGGATATTTTAATCTTATACATAATAAAGAAAGAAAAACAGAATTATTTTTCTTATTGGAAACAAAAATTCTTAAATTAGACCATCCACCAATTAGGGATGCTAAAATGTTACTCAAGGTCCACTAATTAACTTTTTCCGGACCTTTCGACCAGAAGTTCATAAGTCCATTAGTCCATGACAACAAACTCCATCTGCTGAGGAAGACTGTAAGATGACTAATTTAATTCAGCTCTTTAAGGTACCGATTCCACCTCAGCAGCAGGTAAACAAACAGGCTTTAAATGAAATGAATAAACTACTTTACGGGGAAAGAATTCAAACTGTGGTCAAGGTGGACGTGAAAAACAGAAATTAGATTTAAAAAAAAGTCAAGTTCATTTGACATGAGTCATGTCTGCTGTGAAAAGGCCCATTGAGCTGCCCTTTAGTTAAAGACTACTTTACCGAAATTTTAAGTTTCTTTTTCAGGCCACTGTTCTGCATGAACAGAGGCCCCGGCATGCAGCTGACCACGGCCGCCATGCCGCCCTCGCAGGACGATGTCGCGTTTCTCTTGCTAAACTCCAGGGGGCAGGCTGCCAGGTGGACCTCTGTGCCCGTACATGCCACAGAGTGAACGTGGAAGTAGCTCTTCTGACGTTCCAAATACAACCTGGAAGGAGCAGAGACAGGGGAAGGAACTATAATGGCAGGAAACAATAGCTGTGTCCCAAATCCACACTACAGAACAAACTGGTTCTATACAAAAAATAGTGTGGATGTGGGACACAGCAACTGATTAAATTAACAAATGAATGTTAGTTGTATTCACAGTAGTCACAAGTAATATGCTGAGAAATAACAAACAAACTTCAACTGTTCTTGGATTTAGCTAAAGGCTTTTGTTCTGAAAATCACAGATGTTGTTCCTAACCAGCCACATGTGCAGAGCAGGTGCTCATACTGAAGGGGATGTGGCAGAGAGAATTAGCTTTTTTTATTCAATTGGAACATCCAACATTTTTTACCCTGACTTTCTTATCAGTTTACATTGCGTTTGTCTGCGAGCAGCATGTGTGTGGGCTGGAATTTACCCACTGAATTATTTATCCTGAGATTACCTTTTGCCAGGGCTGCTCTGTTTAGACTTAGAGTTAGCTTTAGCTTTGGATGTCGGCCTGCAAGGTAAACACGGGTTAGACTGCACAGTTAGGAGAAAGAAAACGAGGTGACAAAGTGAAAAACCATAGTAACAAAGGTTTACGTGATGCACAATTATGTTAAACACACAGTTCAAAAGGATGTGTCTCCTTCAACATAGTGGTTAAGTACAGTTGTTAACACATACAGTGATATGTAATAAGTTGCACAAAACACAAAGTGACACATCCTTTTTAAAAGTCATGTAAATAAACAGAAACGTGACAAAGAATTAAAACATTTGTTGGTTATTTTGACATTTTTCATCAGCACGGGCTCATAGACACTGCACGGCCAAAAGTATACAGACACATACTTTTCTTAATGCTACTGCATACAATGATATATTTAACAATAGTGTAGTTTGGGGAAGGCTCTTTTACATTTAAACATGATAAGCCAGGTTCATAAGGATATGATTTTCCCAGTTTGGTGCTTAAGAACTTAACTGGGCTAAACCTTTGGGATGAACTGAAAGTGGAAACAAATGGGTGTATTGTTTGGTTGTCCATATACCTTTGGCCACGTAGTTTATGACATGTAATGCATAATAACATGTTTGTTAGTACAAACTGTGATTGTAGCCAATGTGAACTTCAAGTTACCACATTGATTTTATTTGATATATGGCACTGCTTTTAGGTAGGTGTAATATCACAAAAAGAGGTTACATGGTAATATCATAAACCATACATACTATGTTAGTGGGTTCTTCAACTTTTTCAGCACAGGTTTTAGAATAAAAGTTTAATACTGTGGGGGAAAAAAAAACTTTAATATTATATGTTTTTATTATAGTCTTTTAGAATCTGCAAATGATTATTATCTTGTTTTAAAATCTGGAGACTCAGTATGGCTCCAATACGATAACAAACCTGAAACCTGTTCTCTGAGTTTTATGTTTTTTCTTTCAAAACAAAGTTACAAAGTGCTTTACAGTAAAAATAACAAACTAAAGTGAATAAAATCCAAAACATAAAATATAAAATAAGATAAATTAAACGAATACTGAGAGTTTGCCCGCTTTAGGTTGCAAATGCATTAGTTTCTCCTGTTTGAATAAAGCTAGTTATAAACTGCAGTATCTAGCTGTTTTAGGTAATCACTGAGCCTTTTTATTTAAATGAAAATAAATATTTCTGACCTATTTTTAAAGATTTACTTCTTCAGTAGTAACAAATGGGTTTGGCGTTGAGTGGACAGCACCTACTTTGTGCAGTTTTATGACCTCAGGACACTAAATTAACAGTGTCACGTAATAACTGCAAAAAAAAGGATTATGGACTGACTTCCTCTCTCATCGTCCAACGTGGCAAACTCCACCCAGCAGATTAAAACAAACGCTGTGAATTATTTGCAGATTCAACCAGACACAGGTCGGCTCTTGTCATGTGGGCTGTGACTTTTTTTAGTTGAAGAACCCAGAAGAGTGACTGACCTCTTCGAAAAAGCATGCCATAATAGGGAATGGGATTTCCAGCTGTTGCATTAGATTAAGAGGGACTATTAAACCCCCGTCACAGACACAGCACAGATTGAGAACATCTGTTCCATCAAAAGGGGCCTTAAAA